CAAACCTAAACCATCAGTTTGTGTGTTTCCAGTTGTCTCCACCTGCTAAAATATCAACCTTTTTTTGAAAGACACTGCTTTATGTACTATTATACTTTAATTCTAAGAAAAAAGTATTTAGGTACAGCCTGTCGATTTACTAATGACATGATTGACAGAATCCTCTATGACTTCACTTTAGAAAGGAATATTTATTAAATTTTTATAAAAATTAGACAGTTTCTCCATTTATTTTTACCAATATTGTTTGGATATTTTAGGACTGTTCTTTATTAGAATTTAAAGAATTATCATAGCTTAAATTTAAGATTGAAAAATTCTGAGAAATTATTCATATGAAAACTATCAAACACGGACTTGAGATACATTGAAAATTGATGTTTGCAATGCAAAAGTTGGAAATAGAGATCAGTAATTGGAAAATACCGCTTTGATGATATAAACTAAGCTGGGGAATCCCCTGATAGAATTTTTAAGACCAACCACTTCCTCATTTCAAATACCCTTTCAATAGCTTACACAGCAAATATAGTCTTGAACCTCACTAGATGAGATATACACGAATCAAATTGACTACATCTCTGGAAAGAGACAGTGGAGAAACTCAAAACCATCACACCCTTTGTCTGCGAGATTGGGTTGAAACTGAAGAATATGAAAACAAAATCCCAAAGAACCAAAGTACAACATTGATAATAAGTTAACCAAATTAGAGACTGTCTCAATAACAAATTTGAAGTATGAAAGAACTAATATCAGAAGACCTGATGAGTTGTGTGATGACATTAAGAGCACCATACTACATGAAGCAAGCAAAGGTCATTAAAAATAAAAGAACGCAAAGATCAAAGTGGATATCAGAAGAGAATCTGAAACTTGCTCTTGATCATAGCTCAATAGCTGAAGCAAATGGAGGAGATCTTGATGTCAAAGAACTACAGAAACTTTCAAAGGGCAGTTCCAAAAAAATAGTCTAATGAAATGTGCAGAAACCTGGAGTTAGAAAGCCAAAAAGAAAGAATATGCCCAGCATATCTCGAACTGAAAGAACCGAAGACAAAACTCAAGCCTTTAGTTAAAATAATGAAGGGTTCATTGGGCAAAATATTGAACCAGGCTGAAAGCATCAAAAGAAGATGAAAGGAATACCCAGAGCCACCATACCAGAACTGACCACCGTTCAACCATTTAAAGATGCAGCATATGATCAAGAACTGACGAAATCGAGCTGTGCTGAGGCATTGTGAAAAACACGGCTCCAGGGATTGATGGTATTCCAATTGAAATGTTTCAGCCAGCTAAGGCAGTGCTGGAAACACTAGTTCGCGTCAGCTAACTAGCAAAGATCCAGATTTGTGCCCATTCCAAAAGTAAGGTAACCGATAGAATGTAGAAAATATCAAATAATATAATTGATATGATCTGCAAGTTAATTTTGCTAAAGAAACGTCAAGAATGGTGGCAGTGGTGCATCGATAGGGAGTTGCCAGAAATTTAATTCAGATTCAGATAAGGATGAAGAATGAGGAGTAGCAAATGGATCTTGGCTGAAAGCAGAGAATTTCAGAAATAAGTTTACTTGTCTATGCAAACACATTTGACTATGTGAATGAAAGAAAACTATGAATAACATTGAGGAGAATGGAAGTTCCCGAACACTTCATTGTGTTCCTGGGGTACCTGTCCTTGGACCAAAAAGCAGTCATTGAAACAACATAAGGGTATACTGCATGGTTCCAAGTCAAGAAAAGTATGCATCAGGGTTGTAGTCTTTCACCAGATTCAATTGATCTGTATGCTGAGCAAATAATCCCTTGTTTGGACTACGTGAAGAAGAAGGCAAATAACTCCTTGTTTGGACTATGTGGAGAAGAAAACAAAAAGATTAGAGGAAGGCTCAAAAGTAGTGGTTCTCAACCTTCCTATGTAATACCACGACCCTTTAATATAGTTCCTCATGTTGTGGTGGCCCCTTTCCACCATAAAATTATTTTCTTTGCTACTACATAACTATAATTTTGCTACTGCTAGGAATCGGGTGGCCCCTGTGAATGGGTCTTTTGACCCCCAAAGTTGTCACGACCCACAGGTTGAGAACCGCTGCCCTAAAGTAGACTGCAATATACAGATAGCAGATAACAGCTGTGTTTGCTGAGGGTGAAGAATACTTGAAGAATTTATTGATATGGATTAAAATTAATTACAAGGAAAACAAAAATGCTCACCACTAGACCAATAGAAAACATCACAATAAATAGAGAAAGATTGAAGTTGTTAAGAATTCCCTTTTACTTGGATCCACAATCAACATTCGTGGAAGCAGCTGTCAAGAAATCAGATGACCTGTTGCATTGTGCAAGTGTGCTGTACATGACACTTTACAATGTTATAGATCAAAAGTGTCATATAAGTTTGAAGGTGCACCTGACCTAATTGATGTATTTGTATGTGAAAGCCAAATAATAAGACTGGAGAAGAATTGATGCATTTGAATTACGGTGTTGGCAAAGAATATTTTAAAATACCATGAATTGTCATAAGAACAAGCAAATCTCTCTTGAAGGAAGTACAGCTAAATGTTCTTAGAAGCAAGCATAGTACGACATCATTTCTCATACTTTGGGCATAATTGGGTGACAGACCAATTCCTAAAAAAGAGCATTGTCCTTGGTACGGAGAGGATCAGCAGAAAAGAGGAAGAACATTAACAAGATGGATTGTCACAAGTGTCTGAAACAATGCCTCAAACATAACATTGTTAGAATGGCACAAGGCTGAACAGTTCTTATGTATATCGGGTCATTGTGAGTCAGAACTGACTAGTGTGCTGCCACCTAGTGATTTGTCAGTGATTGGAGGAGGGAGACTAAAGGCAAATTGAGTCTTTGGCGTCACTCTTTGTAGTAAACAGTGAAAGAAAAAAAATCATATACCAGAGCTTTTCATGTACAGCTATAGATATGATTCAAAGGGCAAATTATACTCTAAAATGAAACTGGAATGGAAAAAATGTTAGAGTGTTATAAAATAAAATTCAAATATTAGCTAATTCTTAAGCCAAATGCTTCAAAGAAAGCAGACAGAAAAAATAACGTTGAAAACAACATTAAATACAAAATACATACTAATATCAAATGCTAATTTCCTTTTTTAAGAAAAAGCCAAATAAAGAAATCACTTAACAGTCCTATTCATAAATAACTAGAAAATCTATGAGTAAAATAATTTTAAAGTGATAAGTAAAACTTACTACAAAATGTATAGACACTTGAAATATAAAATACTGTAAACTATTATAATTGAATTTGCCAGGAACAGAAGACAATGGGAACCTAATTGAAGGAAAATTGAAACTGCTGAGTGCTCATTAGCATGAAACTGCATAAACGCCTTTGCATGCTTTGTCTTACACTAGCTGGTCTCTGCTTCATTTTCCAACTAGACCTTCAGTCACCCTCTGTTCCCCAATTCAAACCACTAGCTTGTCCTGCTAAATGTGTTGTTACCTTAAACCTGACTGATGCCTTGCTCTAAATGCTGTTCATCCTTTCGTCCCTGCCTTTTAGGCTTCTTTTCCTCACAATATCAGTAACTATTATCTCAAAATGCCTTCCTTGATATATTTATTCAGGTTTAAGTAGTATTTTCTTATGTGCTATTTCCTGTTTTTCAAAGAAGCTACTATTCAAAGAAGCTAAGCGGTTTTCTCTTTCATTAATTTACATATTGACATTGAGTCTTGTTTCTACTGGTATTATTCCTAATAAGAAGAGCTTATCAAATGATTTGAAAAAGTTAATGTTACTAGAAGGTGCCAGTTACAAAGCAAATTAGAATATTGTACTACCCCAATAAACACAATCAAATGACTTTATATATTTTGGGTAGTTTGTCATTTTTTCCCCTAAGTTTCATTTATTGATCTATACAACAAAACATTCTCTTTTATGACTTATTATAAAATATTAAATTATTTGCATGTAATATGTTACAGTTAATTAGGGAATATATGTATTAATGAAATAAATCATTGTTTTGGTACTCCAGACTGGACATACTTTATTCAAATACGATATTCTCTACTCTTGGTTACTGTGATATACTAAAGGGAATAATATGTTATAATTAAAAAGCTATATACTAAGTAGGCAATCTCTACCAAGGGAATGAAAACCCTGGTTTCTTAAATGTATCTTCAAAAGTTTGAAAAAAATTAGTTACTTGGAAATAATTTTTCATTTTATATATGTATATATATCTGCAAATATTTAAATGTAAAACACTAGAATTATTTACCTTAATCTTTTTCTAGCTATTTTTAAAAAGAAATTTGAAATTACTGGTCTTACGAATGAATAGCTAGTATTTTTAACTCCTTACATTACATATTGGTAAAACTTACATTAAACCATATTATGTTGTGTTTCCTGTTACATTTTTTAAGGCATTTTAAAGGAATTAGAAGGAATTTTTAGGGAGTTAAAAGAAAAAGAAGACATACTTAATGAAACTTTCCAGTCTAAGAAACTTATACTGAAATCATATTTATAATTTCAGCGGTCCTCAAACTTTTTAAACAGGGGGCCAGTTCATTGTCCCTCAGACCCGTTGGAGGGCCGGACTATAGTTAAAACAAACAAACAAAAAAACTATGAACAAATGCCTATGCACATTGCACATATCTTATTTTGAAGTAAAAAAACAAATGGGGCAAAAACACCTGGTGGGCTGGATAAATGTCCTCAGCGGGCTGGATAAATGTCCTCAGCGGGCCGCATGTGGCCCTCGGGCTTTAGTTTGAGGACGCCTGATTTACATCATGCCAGATGCCTGGTTGATGTCAGTTTTCATATTCGCAGCTCTTTTAGATTATGTGGGGTTCTTCTGCATTTGTCACTTTATTTGGAATATCTTCATACTCATTAAATCTTACTTTAAACTCAATAAAAATCCAGATAGGTTGAACCTCCCTCATCCTTTTATTTAAATAACCCGTGCAGGTTGAATCCACACAGAGTATGATAAGAATACTTGGACTCTCTGCAACCTTACCGAACTACCTCGATGTTGCTACATTTTTACACGTCAATCCCTACATTGGACTCTTCTTCTTCGATGGCCGTTTTCGACCAGTGCCTCTTGGACAGACATTTTTGGGGATTAAGAGTGCAAACAAGGTAAATACTTGTTTTAATAAATACCCTTTTTTCCCCCAAGAGTATTTTTGTTGATATATTGAATATTTGTAAGGGAGTATAGCCTCCCTTTTCTGTGGTGTTAGATTTACCATCCTGGAAAAATCAATCACACTTTCTTAAATTAACTGCTTTTCCAGGAAGTTGCTTGCAATAATTTGTATTGCTTTATTCACTGTATATTTTGTATTCTCAGCCACTATAAGCTTCAAGAAGTTATTTTGATATTATTGAAAGCGACTTTGATATAATAGACTCTAACCAAATTGTATGTATTTTTATATATTTATTTTTTAAAATATATGTAGTGCCTCTTTTGCAATTATGCAATACTTTCATGATAGTAGCTGCTAAAGAAGTCCTCTATACTATTTTAAGATTTTTATCTATATTACATTTATAAGTGTTTATTAGATTTCTCTATAAGTGTTTATTAGATTTCTAAATATTGCTGTGGACCATTTGTACTGTAATGGTACCTGTTTTAGATTTTTTTTAAAAAAACGTATTTCATTTTATAAAATTTAGATCCTATGAAAAGTAATACTTTCCTCAATATTTAAATATTTTATCTTTCTATTTAACAACCTTTTTGTTCCTATAGAAGAATTAGCTTTAGAAGTTCCATGGGCCATTTGACAACTTTCCTAAAAGAAACCCAGATAAAAGTGTGCTTTAATGTATTACGCTATTTCTTACTTCAAGATAATTTCATGAGTAAAATAGGGCAGTTTCTGGCATACACTATAATAAATAAACCATTTATCCAAACATACCAGAAATAATTGTCTTTATATCAGTTAATGTACATTATCTACACTGCAGAAAAGATAAGTTTAGAAATGTAGGGAGCCATTTCAGATTTTTGTACAAAAGGATAGTTTATAATATGGTAATAATTATGTGCATAATTTAACTTTCATTCATTGTTTCAGTTGTTTTCTAGTGTTGTTTTGTCATGTTATAATATATATTTGATTACTTCATTTTAATGTTACATTTTAAAAGATTTAAAGATGGTTCTGTATAATTTTAGAATGATCTTTGATCATTTGTTATAAATGATGCTATCTGGTTTATTTCAGAAAGATACAGAGGAGAAAGTTGTTTCAGATGTTTAATCACATTTATCTTACACTATGTTGTTTTGGTTGTTGAAAAGAGAAAGAACTTTAAAATTGTTTGAATATATCTGTAACTACTATATTATTCATAAAAGATACTCTCTTTTTAAAATGTTTTATTTTTAAGAAATGAAACCCACAACCTTCCTCTGGTTCTTAAATGCTTCCTCCCCCCAACTACCAGGACCCCAATATTGCCTTGCAGACCTGGTTAGACCAGATGAAGCACAGCAGGACAGATGGGAATCAGAAACGCAGGGAATCTAGGACAGATGAACCTCTCAGGACCAGGGGTGACAGTGGCGATACCAGGAGGGAAAGGGGATGAAGAAAGGGGGAATGGATCACAGGGAGCTATGTATAACCTACTCTCTGGGGGACGGGCAACAGGGGGGTGGGTGAAGGGAGACGCCGGACAGTGTAATATGATACAATAATAATTTATGAATTATTAAGGGTGCATGGGGGAGAAGGGAGGAGGAAGGGAAGGGGAGGGGGAAAAAAAGGAAAATGAGCTGATTCCGGGAACCCAAGAGGCAAGCAAATTTTGGGAATAATTAGGGCAACAAATGTATAGATGTGTTTTATACAATTGATCTATGTATTGTGATGAATTGTATGAGCCCCAATAAATTGATTAAAAAAAAAAGAAGTGAATATTTTGAAGGTATTAGGCATTTTACATATTTTTAAAATTGCATTGTATTGGTTTCTATGTACTTAGTCTGAAGGGAAGGATGCATTGTTATTGGTTGTTTTATACCTAAGTTCGAAAGCTTATAATTATTTAATTTTCATGTTTTGAAAACATTAAGGCGCAGCAGTTGAATAACATGGATGAAGTATGTTATGAAAGTGTTTTGAAGCAAGTAAAGGCTGGACATCAGGTAAACTTAAATTTCTCTATCTTATTTTTAGGTGGGGTTTAAAAGATTGCTAATTAGCCTGTCAATTTAAGAATTTTTTCCTTCAATCATAAGACATTTGCTCAGAAATTTTATTTTTTAATAATTTTAACCCAATTGGTACCATATAAGTTACAAAAATATTCAGGTACAGTACTGTTGAAAGTTGTACTATTTCTTGTTGTTGCTATTTTTTTTTCTTCTTCTTGTTGCTATTTTATGAAATAAATAAGATGTAATCTTTTATATTTATTTTCTTTGATTTTTTTAAAAGATCAAAATTTTCTTATACCTCAAAAGGTTAACATATAGTTTTGTTGTATAAATATATCATTTTAAAATTATATTATTTAAAAATTGTAATGTTATTTTTACTGGTTTTATCAATTAAAATGTACATATTGTCTTATTTTTATGTATTGGAAAATTAACCAATATTATTTTTTAAATGTCCACTTTAAACTCTTTTAGTAAAGATTTAAGCTTGATAATGAAAGTGTATAATGATAATTACTCATTTTTTATGATGTCTTAGAGACATTTCTTTCTGTTGTTGCCCTTTTATGACTTGTGTAAACATTTTTTCTGACTGAATTTTAATTTTTCTACTTTTTAATTCTTTATAGTTTTTAATTCTTTATTCTCTAAAAGATTGATAACCACTTATTGTCTCAATTAATTGGTTCTAGATATTTCATATTAAGTGAGAATATATAATACTCCTATGTCTGACACATTTCACTTAGTATGTTTTTAATAGTATAACATGCTGGTGGCATGTAGCTGAACTTCATTTTCTTCATGGCTAAATAATATTCCACTGTGTGTATATAATGTACCAAATTTATTCATTCAAATGTTGATGGGCCCTCGGGTTGTTTTCACTGTTTGTCTGTTGTGAAGAATACCATCATGAACATTGATGTGCACATGTGTATTTGAGTTGCTGCCTTCTTATCTTTGTATTGGACTGGCTGGATCATATGTCTAAGGTTTGGAGGAACTGTTTGCCACAACAGATACACCATTTCATCTTCCCACCAACAGTGTTCACATATTTCAGTTTCTCTACATTCTCACCAAAACTCGTGTTTCATTATTTAGATAATGTTCATTTTAGTGGATGTTAATAGCTGCTCTGCTGCTGACCTAAAGGCTAAAGTCTCTTAACTCACCAGAGTGTCCTGGAAGAAAGACCCGACAATCTGCATCTCTAGAGATTATAGGGCAGAGAATCCTATATGATAGTTTTGCTTTGTCCCCTGAAGTCACTATAAGAAGAAAAGTAACACAGTTCACCTAACAGCAACAACAATAGATTTGAAGTGGTAGCTTCTCCTTACCCACCCCCACCCAAGACTTTATTATGCAAAGTTTGGCAGACTCTGCTTTGGGACAGCTACTTTCCTCATGTTGGCAAAGATGTTGCTCAACTCTTTTTATTTCCTCTTAATATTGATGTACATCTCCATCTTTTTCTTGATGGATCCGAGGCTCCGTATCTTTGGAGTACTTTAATAGTGCACTGCTCATACAGGACAAAGCAGCGTTACATGCCTCTTGGATCATCTTGCTCACATTCTTGTTGTAATTGATGAGACACCTCAGCCGTGTCTACATTTGTCTTCACATTCTTGATTCCCTTCTGGCTCTTATTGATGCCCATGGTCCTGAGGCAGCACAGAACCATAGTTTTGCTTGACATTTACTGTGACCACGGAAGGCTGACATTATGGTTTTAATTTGCATTTCCCTAATAACTCATGATCTTGAGCATCTTTTCATATGGTTGTTGTCCTTATGATTGCCTTCTTTAAAAATATGTCTATTTTCTATCTCTTTGCACATTTTGTAATTTAGATGAAGCCTCACATTGGGAAACCTTCCCAGACTTTGCTCTCTGTGTTCCTTTACTTGTTTTCTTTTTGGTTGTATTCTGTAGTCATAAGGATGATATAAACAAAACAAAACAACCACATCCACTGTTGTCCTATTGATCCCACCATATGTTGACCCTGTAAGACAGAGTAGAACTACCCTGTGGGCTTCCAAGGCTTTGATCTTTACAGAAGCAGACAGTGACACCGTTTTGTCTATGGAATAGCTGGTATTTTTTGAACTACTGATCTTTTGCTTCGCTTCCCAGCACTTCAAGTACAGTGCAAGTGCAGGGCTTTTCATGAATTCTACGAGACATCCCATTGAATTATTGAACCCATAGGGGTTCAGTACCCACGTGGGTTCAGCAGATCCTAAGTAAGCATATCAGGTGGGATCTTGAGCTTACTCCTGGCATGTTGAAAGGGTATTAGGAAATCAGCCCCCAAGTTTTAGCCAGCTGGTCAGAAGTTGGGAGCCCTTGTGGTGTAGTGGCATTGGAATGCTAACCTCAAGGTCGGCTGTTTGAAACAACTTGCTGCTCCTTGGGGAAAAGATGAGGCTTTCTACTCCCATAGATACTGTCTGTGAGTCTCAATGGAAGTGAGTTGCTGAGTTGGTCAGGGGCTGGGGTTTCATGTGGATTCCCCAGTCTTGTAGCTGGTATCTGCTTGTTTAGAAGATGGTGGTGGCCTTTTAACATGTAAGTTCTGACCTACCCACTTGTGACGAGGATAAGGAATAGAGTGCTGGCGGGGTGGCTAGTGATGCGGTTGTAGGAGTGGGCATGTAAGGACTAGATCTCTCTCCAGATTTGAAGAATTGAATTCATTTTGATCCTTACTGCATATTAACCAAGGTATATAACTTTGGAATGTAACGATGAAGTTTGTTTCCTCTGTATTTACATAATTATTTATATGCTACATCAAAATAATTATGTAAATGTTTAAATCTCTCCATTTAATTTTGAGATTTCAGTAAATAAGATTTTAAAATTTTGACAGTATTTCTTTCATAATAAAAGAACTTTTTTCATCAATAACCGATTTCATTTTATGTGAATACTTTTAAAGCTTTTTAAATAATGGAAATCCAACAAATACTTTAAAATAGAAGTTAATATATTTTGTCATTTTTCTATAGTCAGGAAAACATGTATCACTCCTTGCTATACCTTCTATAATTGACGTCTTACTTAAATATATATATTTATGAAGCCCTTGTGAGATTATTACATCATTTATAGAATTAAATAAATTAAATTACTGATTATTCTTCCATCAATTAGCATTTAAAGGCTTGGTAAGTACTTTCTGTACTACTGTGGGAAACAGAATTACTTCTCAGCAAGGTACATCGAAGAGGTTTTGTTTGGGATGAACTTGCGCATGTATGAACCAAAACCATGTGTGGTGGAGTATGAGCTGACCCGAATATCAGCCAAGGCACCTAATTTTACCACAAAAACGATATTAAAAATGTGCTGGAAAACTCAGCTTGTACACGAGTATATACAGTAAATGCCCCAGACTCACCTCACTCCCCAAACTAGCCTCCTACACGTTTTCAGCTTTAGTTACTCTGTGGGTAGGGAAGTCCACCACTCCATTCCATGCTATGGTTCTGCTGCTCCTCCTCTGATGCCATAGCTGTCTTCTGGATCCAGGAGGTTCATTGCACAGGGATCTTGGGTCCAGAGGACACTTACGTCATGACTGTTGCTGTTAATGAGATCCCTCCTCCTGCTTAACAGAGAGCTCATTTTATACACAGCAAAGTAGCATTCCAGGGATTCCAGTTCGCATTTATTCACAGGTGAGCCCTATAGGAAAAGATTGTTAGTAGTAGTTAGAGACTTAACGGAAGTCCCCATTAAATTCATTGCTCCAGTAGGCCCCCCTCTGATCCTTCTAGCCATTGTTCCTTTCATACTTAAGGATTGAGTACCTTCATTCTGACAATATTTTTTGCACACACCTATAAAAACTTGTGAGCCAGTCACTTCATGCCTTTATCTTCTCCCATTTTAGATATTCAGATTGCCAACAGGCAAGTTCTAAATTGCTTGTCTTTAGCAACCCCATACTGGGAGACAAGCATGTTTCTTGATGTAATGAGTCTTCATTTCTGTTTGGACTTTTGGCCTTCCTTATACATAAGTGAAATTCAATCTACAGTAGACCATCCATCAAAACTGCAGCAAAATGCACCATCTCTTAGAGTTGAGCATCTTTCTCTTTCTCTTCCTTTGGTCAAGTTCTGTTCATTTTACCCTTGCCTAGGTCATTTGGTACCAGCTGTAAGCTTGAGAGTTCACCTAGTCTGTGCTTTAAGTTATAAGCACAGGTCTCAAAGCTTTTCTTTTAGAATGGTTACTGATGATGTTTATTTTTGCTCTAGTTGGTGTTGTACTGCTAACCACCAGGTCAATAGTTCAAACCCATCAGCAGCTCAGTGACAAAGAATAGGCTCTCTGATCCCATAAAAATGTATAGCCTCACAAACCCAATAGAGGGTGACTGAGTCAGAATTGACTGATGGTATGGGTTGGTTTATTTGTTTTTAGTGTGGTCTTAAGTATTAAAAAACATTATGTCATTCTTATATTTTTAATATAAAAAATAAAATATCAATATTAACATATTTTTCATAAAGCTACTATTTTAGCATTTTAATATTATTACTATAATTATTAATTTCCCTCTAGTCCTTCAATCATGCATACATGTGGCTTTTAATTTTATTCATTCAAATTTAATTGTAATTGTTAGTTATGATTCATTAGCTAACTACATTTATACTGTATCATAGTCTATACCCATTCTTTTTCTTAGTAAATAATAAACATTTTTAATGTTCCTATATGATTTTTACAATTTTACTATCTGACAAAGGAAAAAAGAAGTCCTTATTCAAGTTCTACGTTTTAGACCCCTTTTAAGTCTCTCTGGAATTTTTATCTCCCCATCCTATTACATAAACATTATTCCCTCTTTTCCACATGAGAGGGAATGAGCCTAATACATGCTGAACACCTTCCCAAGGTCACACAGCTGGTTAAAAGATGGCAGAAAGACAAACCTACAGCAGTGGAGTTGATG